TTTAGTGGACATTTTAGGAATTTTGTAAAGATACTATGAATGTTTTGGGTGCCTTCCTGTTCAGTGGAGTTTTTCTTGGTTATGTAAAAGAGTAATGGCCTTTTTCCCCTTTCCATTTCAGATCTCCCTCTGGGGAAATAAGTGTGACTTGTCTCTGTCAGGTGGAGAAAGCAGTTCCCAGAAGACCAATGTCATCAACTCTTTGGAAGGCCTGAAACCATTCATTCTGATAGATGACACAGAATCTCTTTGGACATTGCTCAGTAAATGCAAGAAAACAGCAGAAACATCCGTAGTTAGAGTAGACATTGTTCTGGATAATTCTGGCTTTGAACTTGTTACAGATCTAGTATTCGCTGACTTCTTGTTATCGTCTGAGTTAGCTACTGAGATTCATTTTCACGGGAAAACTATCCCGTGGTTTGTGTCTGACGTTACTGTGCATGACTTTAATTGGACGGTTGAACACGTGAGGAGTAGTAACCAGAAGTCCACATCTGCCTGTGGTGCTGACTGGGCAGACCATGTTAGGATGGGCAGATGGACTTACCACGATCATATATTTTGGACTCTGCCTCACCCATATTGTGCGATGCCCCAGGTCGCCCCTGATCTGTACGCTGAACTACAAAAGGCATGCCTTGTTTTATTCAAGGGGGATTTGAATTATAGGAAGCTGATGAGTGACAGAAAGTGGGAGTTTACCACTCCATTCCATCAGGCCCTGAGTGGCTTCCACCCTGCACCTCTGTGTAGCATAAGAACATTAAAGGCTGAGCTGCAGGTGGGTCTCCAGCCCGGGCAGGCCGAGCAGCTCATGGCGTCTGATCCCTACTGGCTGACCACTGGCAAGTATGGGATATTTCAGTTCGATGGTCCCGTTTGACTGTGTGCAGGAATTCCCAGCTAATCTCCTTTGAGCCCCAGAAAAGCAGTGCATAGATCTAGTCCTGCTTCTCATCAGCCACGGGCAGCGCCATTTCTCAGCTCCTGTGCCACCTTACACGGTAGATGGCAGAACAGTTTCCCTGCTGCCATGTTTGGGAAGACGGGTCTTTAAGCTAGTTACACTATGCTGGAATTTTAATCACTATTTCAAGTTAAATGCATACGTTTAAGTGGTTTTTAATGAACTAATTTTTAATTGCAAAGAATGCAAAATAAAAGTGAATTCTGCTTTTTAAGTTTGTTAACCTTGTTTTTTCCTTCCTTAAATAGAATGATTATTTAATATTCTAAGAAGACTAAATATTATTTAACTTAGTTTTGGCTTTTGCATTAATGGCCTAATGAGCATATGCCTTGTGACAGCCCTGCAGGGAGGCATGTCGTGCTGCTCGAACACAGACAATTACCTCAGACTGAACTACCGCCTGCTGTCCTGCATGCGTCTAAGGTGTAAAGCCTGTTTCCTTGCCTGACTTGTCTGGGATGTGGGTCAGAGCACAAACTGGACATTGTGAAACAGCAGTGTCTGACGAAGGACAAATCCAGCCTTCCTATTCTCAGATTTCCATGCGGAAGTCAACACACAGGTGTCCAGAGAGCAGTTTCCGTCCTCAGTAGCACAAGAGTGTGTCAGGTGTAAAAGCTTGTTTTGCATTCTTTTGGATACTGCCAGTCCAAACCCGTTCTTTATATTACACTTGTATTGTTTTTGACCTCAGCTGCCAGAGTCTGCAAGTTCATGCTACTTTGTTTTGAAACAAATTGGAAACAAACCAGGAAATGTTTTTGTGTACTGGAATAATAAATGGATTTTACTGAGAAATATCACTAGTTTTGCTTTCTTTTGGGACGGGTGAAAGGGAGAAGATTGACAATGAGATCTACATTGTATACACACTGTGTATTTTGACTGTTACCTAAAGCTGTTGTGAGATCGTGTGATGTAAATGAAGTTAGACCCTGCTCTTGCTCAGTCTTGGGATTCTTTCAAGATGTTTAAAGCCATCTGGGATGTGCTGCTTCCTGCTCACAGGTTTTAAGCATCAAGTCATTGAAATGCTCAGTAAGTTGTAACTGCAGAACCTGAAGTTCAGAATGAGATGTTTTGACGGGCTTCATGGCAGTGACGTGAGCAGTCATACACCACACTTGGTGTTCACTGTTCTGGCGTCCCCTACCTTGGCTCTGTGGTTTATGAAGAACACACATGGTAGTGTTTGAGAAAGTGGTTCAGCCCCACCCCCTGCAAGGGAGAGCCAGAGAAGAAAGGGTCATCCAGGAGAGTAAGTTCAAGATGGAGTTCTTATGGATGCGTAGTAGGAAACGGTACCTTCCTGTTGGTTGTTTTTTCATTGAGACAGATTCATTCTGTGTAGCCTAGGGTGCCCTTGAACTCTCTGTGATCCTCCTGCCTCAGCCTCCCAAGTAGTGGTGAGATTACAGACATCAACTAATGATTCCCTCCCTCCCCCCCCCCCCAATTTTTTTAGTACTTACTATATTGCCAATGTTGGCCTAGAACACTTTTTGTTTGTTTGGGCTAGTATCTCTCTGTAGCCCTGGCTGTCCTAAACACTGAGCCAGGTGGCCTTGCTCAGTGATCTACCTGCCTCTGTCTCCTGGCTGGAATTAAAGGCATGCGCCTCCATACCTGGCTAGTCTAGAACTCTTAGCTGCAGTGCAGGTTGGTTTCAAACTTATCGTCTGGCCTCAGCCTTCCAAGTGCTAAGATTGCAGGTATGTTTGATACGCCCGCTTACCAGCTGATTTTTAAAACAGCTTTATTGCCGTAATTAGAAACGATTTAGTCCAAGTGCACAGTATTTTAGTACACATAAGCTTGTGCAGTCACCTGTACAACAGACCAGAACATTTGTCACCCCTAAAGTCGATCCAGCACCGTGGAGAACACTAAATTCTGTGTATTTGTTTACATACACTGGGCATTTAATATAAATAGAATAATAAAATGTGTGGCCCTTTGTGATTGGCTTCTTTTAAAGGATCTTTAGTAGTCACAATTTTCAGTACTCCCTTGTGACAGTTAAACAGTACTCCGGTGTATAGGTATACCACATTTGACTTGCCCATCAGCGTTCTTTCTCTTGTTTGTTTTCAGATAGGGTCTCACATTGCCCACACTGGCATTGAACTTGTTATGCAGCCTAGGATGCAAACTAGTGATCTCCGAGCCTCCACCTTCCAAGTGCTGGGATTACAGTGATGGGCTGGCCCACAGTTTCCATTTGCTCATTCAGGATGCTGTTGCTATGGCTACTGATGGATGGATACTGGAGTTTCCTGTTTTCTAGGTAGATATTGAGGAGTGATAGTGCTAGGTCATGTAGTGGCTTGAACTTTCTCAAATGTCACCGCTTCATAGTTCCTTCAGCAGTGCATCAGGGCTCCAGTGGCCCACACCCTTGTTAGCACCCAGCACAGTTGATGGTTTTGATTATATCCATGATGCTGGGCATTGAGCGAATGATGAGCATACTGACCATTTCTATATTTCTTTGGGTCATAAGTTTGAGATGAGCTGGGACTATAGATACTAGAGTTCCAGACCAGCCGAGGCTACACAGTGAGGCCCTGTCTTAACAACAAAAAATTGGACCAGGAAATTATCTTACCAGATAAAGGATTGGTAAATATTTTCCTGCCATTCTCTAGGTTATCCATTTTACTTGTTTTAATTTTTTTTAAAACAGTGTTATATGACTCAGGTTGGCTTGGCACTGGCCATGGAACTCAGGTTATGACCTGTAGGTGGAGTTTTTCTTTGTGACTGCAGGCTCCCAAATAACCACATAGAGACATACTATTAATTATAAATGCTCAGCCAATAGCTTAGGCTTATTATTAACTAGCTCTTACAGCTTAGAGTAACCTATATTTCTTACCTATGCTCTACCACATGGTGAAACCTTCTTCAGCTCAGCGTGTTCTGCTTCCTCTGTGTCTGGCAGCTGGCAACTCTACTCCCCTTCTTCCCCATGCTCTTTTTGTCCACAAGTCCCACCTAACTTCTGCCTGCTCAGCTATTGGCCATTCGGCCCTGTATTAGACCAATGAGAGCAACAAACAGTCACAGTGTACAAAAAGGTTATTCCATAACTATGACCTCAAACTTGCAGTCCTCTTGTTGCTTCATCCTCTTGAGTACTGAGATAACAATCTATATGTCTGGTCAGGCAATGGTGTCGCATGCCTTTAATCCAGCACTCAGGAGGCAGAGACAGATGGATCTCTGTGAGATTGAGGCCAGCCTGGTCTACAGAGTGAGTTCTAGGCAGCCAAGGCTACACAGAGAAATCCTGTCTTGAAAAACCAACCAGCCAGCAAACAAAAGACAATCTGTATGTCTGTATGTCTTTCTATTCTCTAACTTTCTATTAAATATACACATTAGATTGACCTGCAGATGGATGGGAACACACACACAGACACACACACACACACACACACACACACACACACACACACCACGTGCTTAAGAAAAGGTTAACGAGGCTCCGGGGCTCAGAAACTCCCAAAGTCAGGGTCAGATTTAAGGAACAAGGAAGAGTCTGTAGTTGACCAGACTGGACAGAGGTTGGTACCAGGATGTGGATAGTCACTGTGATTGACTTGACTGTGTTGGTTTGAGGGAGGGAGGTGTATTGTAGAAGCTTTTGGAATTTTGGCCTGGAAGTGCTCAGAGCCTAGTGAGTTGCTGCAGGAACTTGGAAGGTAAGAATGTTCAGAAAAAAAGTCGACAATGGAAGCCTGGCTTGTGAGAGTCCTTTGAAGACACTTGTCATTTGTGTGATCGTTTTGAGTAAAGAATCTGTAGAAGTGAAACCTTTGCCTTCCTGGGACAATGGACAGTGGTCTGCTAGGGCTGGAAACCCAGTTGTGATTGTAAGAGCCCAGCATCACTGAGGTGAAATCTGGGAACTCTCTCTTCAGGGTCAGAAGCTGTGGTCCTGAAGGGGCCGAGGCTGCGCTTGTGCTGGCTGTCAAACTTGCTAGCATGTAAGAGCCTCCCAGGTGGTGCTGGGTTTGAAGGAATGACGGGGCCACGGAGAGCAGCTGAGGCTTGGCACTGTGAGGCGAAGGTGCAGCTTCAGGTGCAGCAGAAACCCCAGGATGGAGAAAATCATGGAGAGAAGCCAAGGCTTGGCACCATGTGAGAAGTGAGGTCCCTGCAGAGAGACACCACAGACACCACAGAAGGAGGGACCTCAGTGGAGAAATCGCCTCCATTAGGTTGGCCTGTGGACTTGTCTGTGGGGTATTCTTTTGAATATTGATGGCTGTGGGAAGGCCAGCCTACTGCAGGTAGTGCCTTGCCTGGGCAGGTGGTCCTGAGTTGTATAAACAAGGTTAGCTGGGTACATCAGAGGAGCGAGCCAGGAAGCAGGGCTTTTCCATAGTTTCTGCTTCAGTTCCTATCTCCAGGATCCTGCCTGGGCTTTTGCTTGATTTGGGCTGGCTGTTCTTGCGAGCCAAACACTTGCCTCTCTAAGCTGGTTTTTGGCCGGTGATTTATTACCGCCTCAGAAAAGGCCTTAGGAGCCGTAGACCCAGAACTGGGCAGGTGCAGAATGTCAGGAGGAAGTCCCAGGCCATTTGATGGGTCAGTTTGAAATAGGTCGAGGGTTAAGGGTGGGAGAAACTGCACTTGAACTGGAGCCTGGGGACACTGGCAGGAATCCTTGACTGGAGCAGTATTTCTTGGATGAGGACTTGGGGACAGGTGACTGGATGATTAGTCAATGTGCCGGCCACTGTCGTGGAATATTACCTTAACTAGGCAAAGATACGTTACATTTGTTTATGCTGCGACATATTTTAACTATGTGAAAGTGTGTTACATTGGTTTGTGCTGTATTTGTTTTAATTATGTAAAAATGTCTTGCCTTTGTTTCCCCCGTTGTCTGCCTAAGGCACCTGATTGGTCTAATAAAAAGCTGAATGGCCAATAGCTAGGCAGGAGAGGGATAGGCAGGGCTGGCGAGCAGAGAGAATAAGTAGGAGGAGAAAGTTAGGCTCATAGAAGGAAGGGTGAAGTAATAAGGGCGGTGGGGCTGTGTTCCCAGCACCCCGGCCGCCTGCTCGGCTAGCTTATGCCCAAAATAACAACACACAAACTGTATTCATTTAATCACTGCTTGGCCCATTCTCTTCTAGGCTAATTCTCACATATTAATTTAGCCCATTTCTAATCATCTGTGTGTAGCACCCCAAGGTGCGCTTACCGGGAAGATTCTAGCCTAGTCCATCCTGGGTCGGAGCTTCATCCCGGGAGCGGGGCATGGCGTCTCTCTCTGATGCATCTGATCCCGAGAGAGCTGTGGAGTCTCTGAGCTCACTTCCTCTTCCTCCCAGTATTCTGATCTGTTTACTCCACCTACCTATGTCCTAACCAATAAAATGGGCCAGGGCAGTTCCTTTATTAGCCAATGACCTTCCTCCATCAGAAGGGAGTAGAGAAGGAGGGAGAAAGAGAAGGAGATGCCAGGCATAAGATATACAGAAGGAAAGAAAGGCAGAAAGACCCAAGGCAGAATGTAGACGAAGGGAAACGGGTTAAGTCCTAAGAGCTAGCGAGACAAGCATAAGAAACGCCCGAGCATTCGTAATGGAGAAGTCTCTGTGTCATGATTTGGGAGTTGGTTGGCGGCCCAAAAGAACTTTCAGGCTCAGGGTATTCCTTCTGGAGTCCAGGCAGGGGGTTCCACCGCCGTGGAACTGTGACTGAATGGCTCGTGCAACCCCATGCATCCTTAGGCGTCATTTTTATTATCTGTTTGTGCCTTCTGCACTGGCTGACAGTGGTGGTTTGAGCCTTTGAACATGATGTGTTACAGCTGCTCTTTCCTGGTGTTGAGGCTCAAAGCGGCATGACCCAGGTTAAGACCGTAGCTTTATGCGATGGGGTTATTTCAAGCCAAGAGTGGCCTGAAGATTGATAGATACTACATATCAGCCAGAGCAGGCCTCTTCTGCTTTCATAGGATGTGGAAGGAGTCTGTTAATGGCACCAACCATGATAATTTTGAGTCTGTCTTATTTTGCTCAATATGATGATCTTAACACCCATTTTCCATTTCTTTTTCTGTGGTTGACTAAAACTTCATTGTATGTTAGCCATGTTTTCCTTACCTATGCTCTGTTTGTGAGTACTTGGTCTTATGGTGTAAGTTGGCTATTCTGAATGTTGAACATTTCCCCCACATATTTATTAGCCCTCAACTCATTTTTGACTTCTTTGAGACAGAGTCTTACCATGTAGCTCTGATTGTCCTAGAACAGCCTATACAGGCTGGCCTCAAATTCTCCTGCCTCTGTCTTCTTAGTTCCAAGACTAAAGGTGTGCATAACCATGCTCAGCAGCCCTGACAGCATCCTACTGGTCATTAATTCAACACCCAAATTTTGAAAGAGACACATTTAAATCGTGATACCATTTCCTATTAATTGTGTGGCCCAAATCATAATCTCAAGAAATACTGTGAAGTCAGATGTTCTTTCTGGTTTGTTTGGGCTACATTAATCTCAACAGCAGATTATATTAGGGAAGCTATAAACACATTAACACATAGTAGCATTCTGGTATCTACTTATGGGCATTAGAATATTGCATCAATGCTGATATTTTTTTCTTCCTTAGTTGAAGAACCTCTGTGGCTCTGCAACCCCAGCCCATGCTAAGCAGTCCCATCAGAAACCATCCAATCTATTCTCTTTTCCTTCTGCTTTTGCTTTTTGAGGCATCCCATTTCCCTGCTCAGTTTCTTGAATATTTCTTCACTCTATCTCTAGACTGTCTACAAAGTAAACAAAGGAACCAATTCATCCTGAAGATACTTCTCATAGGTGGATTTCAGGAGTTGCCCACCTCCTGGGACAGACAAGGCCTGCATCTTTGGTGACTTCAGTTCTGCTGGAATTTAATACAAAATTTAGGCACAAGGGGGAGATCTGTTAGCGCAGTGGAGTGGCTGGATTGTGCACAGAAATTTCAGCGAGAAAGGCTAGCAAAACATGATTTTCATTTTGGCTGCAAGCATTCTTGTGTTTTCAACTTTAAAATGACTACAGTGGAGCTAGCCATCTGCCATGGTGATCAGGGCAAGCATAGTATAGAGGTGCATGTCCTCATCCATTTTGGGGACTTAATTCCTGCATAGATTGTTTGCAACAACATATTACAATGATTTGTCATTAGGCAGACTGGAAACTAAAATTCAGGAAGATGAAAAATATCAGAAAACAGTCACACTGTAGAAAAATCTTTCTATGAAAAAGAAATAGCTTCTCATTCTTACAGCCTTTGCTTGAATGTTACACATAGTAAATTAAAGGAAAGAATGCCATAAACTTCCCTAATGTATTAATTGTGGATGTAACAAGTGATGTTTTAAAAACACAATTGAGTGGACTTGTTGGCATACAAAAGAGTTCTAAGATAGCCCAGAATGGAGTATAACAAAGCTTTATTTATTTGGGGATAAATGCACAGAAAGAGTAGCGATTTACAGTCCTCTGTGTGCACTGGAACTGAATCCAGCAGTCAAGAGGCCCGCACACACTTTTCATCTTCATTTATAGTACAAGAGACCACGCCCACAGTGGGCTGATATCTTAAAGGCTGTTGGCTGAAGAAGTTCCCACAGTACCTCCCCCTTTTGTCTAAAGAGAGTTCTAAGCCTAATATAAAACTATACACAATAAGAACAAATACCAAGTGTATTGTCCAGGGAAAAGAAGAGGCAAAAACATATATAAAAAATAGAATTACAACCAGCATGAACACACCAAACAAATAACATATGCTAGATTTTCAGTAGTTATCCTATTCTAAGGAGTCTAAGTCTTATATTAAAAATGACTTGGTTAAGTCATGAGAGAAAAGTAACTATGGTGATCTAGTCAACCCTATCAAAGACCTGAGAAGGGAATAATATTAGTCAAGTAAACAGGAAGTACAATCAAGCAACTTCCAAAAGGTGCAAGAAATGACTACGTGAGCAATCACCCAAAGTCTCATTTGCAATGTTGGGGCAACCAACTTTGGCTGAGGCCTAGAATAACTGATAGACCATTTTCAGAGGCAGGACAATTTGAAAAACTGTCTGACTCTGTCTTGACAAGGGTTGGCAGTCTTTTTGCTTGAATCCTGCTGTCCAGTCTGGACACTGTGCATTTTGTCAGTGGTCGAGGCAAGGGCAGTTCTTTGCCCAAAGGTCAGTTTTGTCAAGAAGAAAACAAACTCCAAGTAGAGTGTCTTCAGTGCCCAACATTCTCTTCAGAATAGATCAGTGCTGCAAGGAGCAATTGTGTCTCACGTCAACAGAATCCTAAGTTATTTAAATACCATATTTTACAGTTCTTTGAAGTGTTTAAAGATTACCTATCTATGTGGAATACAATCTCTCTCGATCTAAAGAACCTGAGTAGTCTAACTAAGGCTTCATATTAAGAAATTAAGCAATCTTTAAACAACTGTGCAGCAAATGAGGACCTCAAAATGTAAACAATATATAAGTATCTTGGTCAGAGGTAGAAATGTATAGTGTAATATGATAAATATATACAAAATATCTTAAGCAGAAGTAGAAACATGCATGCATGCAATATGACAAAAATAACTTGGCATAGGTGCATAAATATTGTAAACAGAAATAGGAGCATATTCAATATAACAAATATAATTTGAATTTTTATCAATATATAAGAATCTATACCAATGTAAATTGTCTATAAACAAATAGCTCATAAATAATCTCACTATTACTTACTATTATTATTAGTGTGCTTAAGCTCACAGTAATCTTTTTTTTTAAATATTTATTTATTTATTTTTTATGTATACAATATTCTTTCTGCATGTATGCCTGAAGGCCAGAAGAGGGCACCAGACCTCATTACAGATGGTTGTGAGCCACCATGTGGTTTCTGGGAATTGAACTCAGGACCTTTGGAAGAGCAGGCAATGCTCTTAACTGCTGAGCCATCTCTCCAGCAAGCTCACACTAATCTACCTGTTATCCCATCCCATTCATTCCCCTTTATTTTTTTTCAAGAGAGATCCCTGAGCCTACTTTATTTCTATCCCCTACCCTATACCAGTTATAACCAACCCCTAATAGCTGTCCTTAACCCTGAGGACAAACTTCGTTG